GCCATCGCTAGTAGGATGGAGGCCATCGCTCTTAGGTTGGAGGCCATGGCTAGTAGGATGGAGGCCATCGCTAGTGGGGTGAAGGTCATCGCTACTGGGGTGGAGGCCATCGCTAGTAGGATGGAGGCCATCGCTAGTGGGGTGAAGGTCATCGCTAGTAGGTTGGAGGCTATCGCTATTAGGTTGGAGGCCATCGCTGTTAGGTTGGAGGCCATCGCTATTAGGTTGAAGGCCATCGCTAGTAGGTTGAAGGTTGGAGGCCATCGCTTATTAGGTTGAAGGCCACCCGTAGTTGGTTGGAGGCTATCGCTAGTAGGTTGAAGGCCATCGCTACTAGGTTGGAGGCCATCGCTAGTAGGTTGGAGGCCATCGGTACTAGGGTGGAGGCCTGCGTCTTCCAATCTTTTGCTTTGTGCTCTCGTCGATTCACCCCAAAGACATGTATAGTGACCTGCTGAAAGATAGAATATTCCGTCGCGAATTTGAACTAGACAGAATACGGTTTACCTTGGATAATTGCGGGTAAGAGATAGAATATTTCCCTTACTAATCAATTCTTTTTTTCAGCACGTGGACAATAGCTTGCAGAACAGGTCCAGAACAGTCCAAAACCCTTCGTTTAACCGCTTGCACACTGACATTTTGACATCACTGCACGGACTGCGTACATCCCCGCTGTGCACTCTCACGAGCTGCACAGGATCCCCACTGTCATGAGCCTCTGGAATAAGTAAAGAAATCATATGAAACCATCCCACATTCGGAAACTCTTTCTTGCACACGTTGTATATCGCGGAAAGAGATAGAATATCTTTTGGGGAATATCCTATAAAGAATATTCTATGATATTCTATGTATCCCGTGGCGGATGTAAAGGATTGTTTCATTCGTTTTTGTGTTGTTTTTGATTGAGAAATATTCTATCTTTCAGCAGGTCACTATGAGGGGTGGATGCCTCGAAAAAGATGCTCTTCGGGCAAACATTGGATTCTGCTGGTGGGATGAAACCGATGGCATCTTTAGCCTTCTTCAGCCTTCTCTCCACGTCAGGGCCGTTATGTTCGCCCGTTCGAAAACAGTTGAGTGCAGCCAAAGCACCGTGTCCAGGATGAGATCACAGTCACACGTGTTGAGTGTCAACCTGATGCGAGGCCGCTCCGGTCACGGTTTCGAGCTGAGCCAAGCGATCGCCCAGGCGATCCGAAATGCAGTTGGGCCACATGTCGCTCATACCAGTACTGGACCTGGCTAGCACAAAGAGGGGAATATCATCTCTTTAATTGCAATACATCTGGAATGGAAAGGCATCTTCGGGCAACACTTTTTTCTATGATCCTACATCCCAGCACTTCTTTTGACCTGGGGATGCTCTAACCCAGACAGCTTTACGACAAAAGCATGTGTGGGTCTAAAATTCAATTGGGTCCACACTCGAGCACATCGTGTTTCCTTGCAGATTTGCTTCTTTAAGGTTAGGTATAGGATTGATGTTTTCGGCAAAACTTTCGATTCCCAAGACGGGACAGGGGTGGGGAGAAGAAAATCAACCAAACCTCGTCGGACACTTTTTCTGCTACTCTAATGGTGACAGCAAAGGTTTTACAGTAACAAAAGCTGGTCTGACACAAAGTGAGACAAATTGACCGAGGACCATGCACCTCTAATAATAAGACATCTAAGACAACCTCTTGGATACGGCATGTTTCGTTTTTTTGGAGTTTGCTGCTTCAAATTCTTGGAGGTTTGGTACGCTGCTCACTTTTGAGGGCAAACTCTTCAATTCAAAAGGTCGGTTGTGGGGAGGGCACGGCACCTCCCCCCCAAAAAAGCAAAAAGGAACACGTATTCTCGGTCCAAATGCGCCGCGTTTTCTGGCTTCTAACGCTCAAAACTCTTCATGGAGGCGTCGTTGGTGTCTTGCTTTTGGGAGCCAAATGCAAAAGGTAACAGAATAAAGGACAAGGAAAGGACAGCTGCGAAAACGAGAAAGGCAAACAAAGGAAAGGAACACAACAAGGAAAAGGAGAATAACATGACGATCAGAAAAGACTGTTGATCAGATGATCAAACATGGAAAAAGCAAAACAAGAAACATCTGACCCCGCCACGGAAAGCAAGGTAACCAAGGCTCTGGGTGAGTGCAGTGAGTGCAGTGAGTGCAGTTGCAGTAAGTGGTAGTGTGGTGGAGTTCAGTTAGTGAGAGCCGTGAGTGTTGTGAGTTGTGAGTGTTGCAAGTGCAGTCAGGTTAAAAGGAAGTGCCCGTGCAATTCATCTACTGGGTTGTTTCCAAGTGCAAAACATATTCTTCCACTTTTTGGGTTAAGTGCTTGGGTTAGAAACATGTAGTGTCCCTGGGCTTTGCAAAGTCCACACACCACAGGCACCAATTTCTGCCCATCTCAGGCTCCAACGACGCCTGCAGCTCAACCTCCAATGACGATTTGGCAATTTTATTCAGCAGATTCCACACTTCAAATTGAAGTTGAGAAGTCTCAGCACAAGACCCGAGAATTGAAGAAAAGAAACATGAGGAGTCTCGGAAACACCTTTCAAGAATACTAGTAATAAAGGGCATCGCGGGCATTACTACTACTAGTAGCAAGAAGGCTACTAGAATGCCTGTGATTCCAAATCGCATACACGATGCCGCATACGGCTACTAACAAGAATGCCACATCTGATTCTTCGGCATCCGGCCACTTTAGGACCTAACCCTTCCTTATTAACTCTATATATATATGTATATGCTCATGGAACTTATTTGATAGAACAAGGAAGGGTAGACAATTTTTGTCCAACATATGTGCCAAGTATATGTCTTGGAGAGTGTGCATTACTTCAATGCAGCTCTCGCGCCTTGCGTCGGCGCTTGGGCGCCGCGACCGCGCGGCGGGCGATTCTGGTTGCCGCGACTGCCACTGGTGCAGCCAAGGCCGCCTGAGACATAAGGGGCACCAAAAAAAGGGTAGGAAATAAGAGTTCATTGAGACGCAGCCTTACCTTTTTTTTAATCTCATGTTTGAGACCCATATGAAACATTGCACAAAGCAGATCGTAGCACAGGAATAAGTCCAAGACCAAATACTGTGCGTTGATTAAGTAGCTTGTAGACCAGGAGGCTGAGAAAACTTTTTGGGAGCCAACAGTTTCAAGACAGCCGTGTCCGGGAGAAGTGGTCCCTTAAATTAAGGGCACTGGCCTACTAGTAGCGATGGCCTCCAACCTAATAGGAATGGCCTCCAACCTAGCTTAAGGTGGAGAATGTTTCAACACCAGAGGTGGAGCTGGGGAACCTTCAGGTTTGGCCAGCCATGAGCACTCCCTTGAGCAACTCGAATCGACAGTCAACTGGGTGGCACACCTTCCAGGACCAAGTGGACGAATGACTTCCAGCCTCAAGCGAGAACAGGCAAGACTTCTGGCTGCCACAGTGTCATGATATTGTGATGTAAGCGCCCAAAATACGGCAAGCGAAGTAAGCGGCAACTTGAGCAATGGAGGAATGATGAGGAATACATGGCAACTGGACCTTCCAGACCTGCCAGTGACTACCCTGCCCGAGCCTGAAAAACTGATGCGCTATGTGCCCCTCCTTGCGGCGCCAAGGGGAGCCATCTAGGTGCAGCCGAGAGTGCCATCACTAACTCTGCAACTCCACAGCCAAACGCTGTGGACATTCGGCATCCACATATGAACCATGCAAATGAAAACACATGAAAAATACATTCCCCGCGGTAGAAGCACAAACAGGGACAAAGAATGACAAAGATACCCCAAACAAGATCTACAGCCCCAAAGACGGAAAGAAAGAAAACCACGAAAGGTCAAAAGGTCGAAACACAAAGAGATTTGTTTTGTAACTAGAAGCTACTAGGTGGAGGCCATAGCAGGGAGGCCATCGCTACTAGGGTGGAGGCCATCGCTACTAGGTTAAAAGAAAAGGTGCCAGTTCTTTTTCATTCAGGTCTAGGAGTCTTGGATCTTTCATGTCTGCTTCGAGAGCGGATGTTTTAGCCGGTAAAGGGCCTTTGAATTCGCACTTCGCAAGACTGCCCACAAATTCGGCGACCGAGAGACGTTCTCTTTCGGCCCCGGAAGACTCGCCGTCGTCCGGGGCCACGCATGGCCACGCCAGTTAGGCTCAGGCTCTGCACCCTCCAGTTTCTGATTTGCGTCGAAGAGAGAAAAACGCGACGATGAGCCAGGTCTTAATCTTCTGGGCCTTTCAGATTAGGGGGAAGCCATTCCTATTAGGTTGGAGGCCGTCGCTAGTGCGTTGGATAGGAGGCCATTATTATGTCTTAATCTTCTTGGCCTGAACAATGCAATTCTTGAAGGTCCGTGATTCTTCAGACCTCATGTGCCAAAGCACGCGGTCCGTTGGGTCTTTGGAATGACGGAAGTCTTCAGCCGTGTTGGCGTCCATGGTTTCCTGAGGGCAACTGTGGGGAGAAAACCACAGAAGCAAGAGCTAAAATGCAAAAGCAAATGTTAGATATGCACACCCTCCCGGAAAATGTCGATTCTTGCAGCTTCTCAAGTCCAAAAGCTGTCGACCGCAGTCCTTCAATCGCTGTCGCATGTACTGACAATACTCCAGAATCACACGATTCACTTCTGCGTCTGCCTGGGTCCAGGACAGCCAATCAGATTTCCTTAGTACACGGATCTGATTCTTCAAAACACCAAAGCACCCACCAGGCCAGTCATCTGAAGCACAAAAGAACTAACAGACTAGTCCAGCCAGTCGTCGTATATTTCTCTGGCGGTGGCCATTTGTTCAGCTCCCGCATCCGGTTCTTCAGGGCCGGCGAATACCAGCCGTTGTTGATAAACCATGAGATGCGATAGCAACGAACAAAGGACCGCATTGGGAAGCCTTGCCAAGAATTCGACACCAATACAGCAATGGCCACCCTAGGAGCAGTAGCCTCCAACCTAAGAGCAATGGCCTCGAGGAAGACTTCGAGGCTTAGCTTACCGCCTGAACCGATGCTCACCAGGCCCAGCCTCGCTCATTAAAGCGCAGCTCAAAGTCTTCCAAAGAAGAACAGTTGTACAGATCGTATTCCTCAGTATTTACGGGCCACTCAGTCAATTTTCTCTACAAAGTGTTTGCGCAAGCTCGATCCTCGTCTCTGGGCTTCAATCACACTTGACACTTAGTCGATACTCAGACAAGCATCTTTGCGACCTTTGCTGTCCTTCTTGTCACTCCAACTTGGTGGTTGGGAGACATTGCGACCGATGCCCACCGGGTTCTCTCGAAAGCTGAAGCCATGTCGCGCAATCATCTCACTGTTTGAGAGCCTCCCAGGCCACAGAAAAATCTCTTCCCCTTTGGGCATGTCTCTGCGCGCGATTTGAAGAACCAGATCTTCTTCGCGTTTCCCATTGATCACGATCTCCTCTTGGAACCCGATGGACACGCCAGGATTCGGATGCAACGCCACATCCAAGAGCTCGGGCAACGGAAAAATGTACATGCCTGAAGACAAGACAATACTAGTAACACGTGCATCGCTACTTGTAGCTTCTCAATACTAGTAGTTATGCACTTTTTGAATATTATAAACAACATGCAACAAAGCCACAGCGACAAAGGCTCAATCAATATCGTGGAGGAATCGAAAGCAAAGGTGGGATCATACGGATGAACAACCCCGGTGGCTCCCCAAAAGTGGTGGATCATGGGGAGGATGCCCCACAAAGGCCAGCGAAGCATGGTGGGCATACTCTGGGGCCCAAGACTAAGATCATGTCTACATGTCAAAATCAAAAAGCACGCCATTGCCTCAAGAAACGCCGAACAAAATGTCTGAATCACGAACAAAAGGCAAAAGAGAAAAAGAACACAAACGATTTTTGTAAAAGAACTCATGAACATTGGGCATATCGGCACAAGTAGCAGTGGATGACAAACCCCAACCAACAATAAAAATTAGGAACAGTCAAAGATGAAATGTCTAAAGAAAAGAGCAAGCACAAGGAGAGCAAACACAAGGCCCAAAGGAAAAAAGACATGGTCCGTTCAGGAAAAATATCCAAAGGAAAAACAACATGAAACACAAGTTGCTTTTTCCACACAAGTAAGAACACACCTAAAGAAACAAAGAAAAACGAAGAATCATGCCTCAAGAACGGTTTCTTTCGTCTATTCTGGCTCCCCGAGCCCAATCCCTACGGGCGAAGACTGGTGACCAATGAGTTAATACATTGTAGCCCGGGATAACCTGAAAACGGATCAAGAACATACTAGTAGCTTCTGGTTACTAGCAATGGCCTCCAACCTACTAGCGATGGCCTCCAACCTAAACATGCCCGACGGTTTGGTTTTTCTCTAAAGTCGCACTTGACAAAAAGCAATTAACAAGGACAGGGCCATAAATCAATTCATAGGGGGTTAATTAAATCATAGGGGGTTAAATACTTGTATAATGTGATGATCACGTTGCCCGCAACAGGCTTGTCTGAAGCCGGCTTCTGCACCCTTGCCGGGCTGCTTGCCATTCCCCTATTCTTAAGACCCCAAAGGTGACAGTCACCTAAAACATCTAACCATCCGCGGATCCGCACATTCTCGGACCTAAGCTTTCAGGAAAGCCGCGTGGGTCGCGCACTTCTCGCTGGTCTTGGTATGGATGGACCACCCGGCCATGGCGCATGATCACGGCCTGGGAAGGGCTATGAACTACGGTGAACTCGTGAAGATAGGCATTTGTGAGGCCAAGTGCAAAGGAATAAACTGAAATTGCAGTGTGCCAAGGACATTTCCACAGGAACTTTTCAACTTCCAGGCACTAATGCCCAGGATGCTTCCTCCATTGAGACCGGTCTCCTGTGCAAGCACTGCAAGAACGGCTGCCAACACCATCTGTCTTAATAACTTAACCATACTTAACCCAAATCACAAACTTGAAAAGAGAGAAATGGTGGAGAGGCCTCTTGAAGAAGGTCAAATTGGGAGCTGTCTGCCAAATCAAGTCCCTTCTCTCGGCCATCTCCTCAGATTGACACATTGCCAACCGCGGTTAGGATGGCTCTGGCAACAAGAAATCATTCTTGTTGTTTTGTGCATTGCAAGGATCTTCTCCAAATGAAAGGTGGCACCGCATCTTACAGTTCTCTTGCTTCCCTTTGTCTCGGGTACGGGTGGAGCCATGGCCTCCAACCTAATAGCAATGGCCTCCATCCTAGTGGCATCTAATAGCCATGGCCTCCACCCAGCGATGGCCTCCAAGCTATAAATTCAAGAAGAGAGACCTGAATGGCTCCTTCCACAGTTGTGCCAACAAGCACTTGCTGCTGGCGACTCGAAAGCTCCAGCGCAAAGACCTTCTCATTCTTGGTGGCATTGAGCCTGGTTTGGATTCAGATCGCCCCCCTACCCCTCTCCAGCCGCTGGTTCAGCTAAGGGACCATTCGATGAACACAGAGTCTGCATCTCTCCTCTCTGCAAGCAAGGTGTAGGCCAAGCTCAGCAAGTGAATATAATCCTCGCCTGGATTGACAGCACGACTTGCTCAGCACGCACAAGTGAGAGATGTCACTGGGAGACCGGGCTTGTGATGTTAAAAACCTTCTGCAATGTCCTCAGTGCAGCTTGGGCAACCAAGAATGAGACAAACAGTGTCAGGCTCATAAGCTACAGTCAAGCAGCATCTCCTCGAATAAGAAACCTTCAGAGTTTCGAGCAACCGTTGCAATTCAGCTCATTTGGTGCTGAAAACGAGAAGCAAATCGCAATCAAGAGAGACGCAGCGAAAGGTCCAGGACACCAAGGAAAACGGACGTTTCATTGCAAACGGTGCGCGGGTCATCTCACTCTTCAGCTTGTCATTCCTCCCGGTTTCCACAGTGATAAGTGCCTGCAAAGGTTTTGTCGCTGTGGAATGAACATTTTGACGTGCTCCTCACCTAAGTTGTTTGTAGCATTCCCATCAGGAAGTTGTGTTGCAACTGTTGTTGCTTCATTCTGCCTGCCGGGGGATCTTCATGATGGCCCTGCCGTAGAACACGTCGTCAGATAGAACCTGTGAGACAGTGGTAGCGTGCACCTAGCAATGGCCTCCACCCTAGTAGCAATGGCCTCCAACCTACAAGAGATGGCCTCCACCCTGAGCTTCCTATCCGTGTAAGCCAGGGGCCATAGCAGTTCGATTTCGGGCCGGAAGCCCTCCAAAGGCTTTCTCCGCCATGATCTTCCGGCGGATGTGGAGCTGCAAACCTATGCGCTTAGACACCAGCTGCAAACCTATGTGAGGTGTGGCGCAAAACCAAAGAGAGACGCTATGAGGTGTGGCGCCTTGCCGTTGGATTTCCGCCCAAAACTCCTCCCGCACTACAGCCCAAAGGGCAAAGTAGCACAGCAATCCATCAAAATCAGTGCAACGCATCTCTATCTCAATATTTTTTGCGGACAATTACATCAATCAAATGGACCCCAAGATAAACCGTGGCCCCTTTGGCTCATGGCTATCCTTTTTTTTTCAAATCCTTTGGGACTCCCCGTCTCCTTGGCCCTTGCCTCGCTGAACTTGGCACTGCATGCCTGCAAGTAGCACGTGGCATTTCCGAAGCCCCAGGTGCAAGTGACGTGGAAAGCTTTTGTGTTGGTAGCAGTCGCTGCAAGTCGTGAAGATCAGAGGTCATTAACAACACGATTTTTAAAGACATGTCTTGTAACAAGAGTTCTCATGGTTTCTGCTTTCCGATTTGAGGTCATTTGAAGGACCTCATTCGAGCAGCTCTCATCGCTAAGACAAACTGCGAACAGCAGGATCACATGGCGGCATACTCTCATGGCTGGGATCTCAACTGTCCAAAGATTTGGTTCTGCTCTCACTAGGACTTCAATGGGCTTCATACTTTTGCACCCCAGTGGTTGCACAACCCACCTTTTATCTCAAAGTTTCCTTTAAGAACACTATGTTCCTCCACGGATGATGAAACGTGTCAGTTCAGAACCGTCATAATCTCGTGCTCGCTTCGTGCTCGCTTGAGCCACAGGAAGCTGGGAGCTTGGGTGATGCACCAAATGGTCCGATGGGCAAACATGCTCCAAACAGGGTGAGGGATCAACAAACATCAGAAGTATGGAAAAAACGACGAAAAAAGAAACGGTTCAAAAAACCTATCCCCAGGGAGCTATACAAAAAGACTAGGTGACTAGGGAAAACGGCAGGGCGACAGGGATCAGGCAGCCCGCACAAAAAGGAGATTGAACAAATGGAGGGCACGTAATATTTGGTGTGGAGATGCCATAATGGTGACCTCTTAAAGTCTGTCGGTAATGTAGATTTCGTTCCGCTGGAGAGAGAGGTTGGGGGAGGGCGCAACGTCTCCCCCCACAAGAGCGAAGCAAACATCAAAAGCCACCAACTCAGAAGGCGGAGTAAACCACATGGCGCACAATGAAGTCTACACCAAATGGCCTCCAACCTAATATAGCGATGGATCACGAGGCCGGACCAGGAAAAGGAGGGGGTTAAAGGACCGAAGGACCAGGAGACATAGGGACCAGGGGACCAACGGACTAGGGGACCTACTCAGGATGATGTTCTTGTTTGATCCTGCTATTACATTTTGTTGATCCAGTTCTTTTGATTGTTTCTTTGTTTAATCCTGGTGTTTTTCAATCTAGATTCCTTGTAAACATGGCGGCAGTGAAAATACATTCTGGCCAAGTCGAGGGCGGACTCAGGAAAAACTCGCTTGGAACACTGTTATGTTTTAGAGCTAAGTTGAGGCGGTCCACTTTAAAATTTCGACATAGCAAGACCCAACAAAACACACACCACCCTTTAAACACCAAATGTTACTTGACATCGCTTTAGTCATCGAGTCATCCAATTAAATTTTTGGTCCAGTGATGCTATGCAACGTTGCGCAGCTGCGTGACAGTGTGTGTGTGTGTGCCCCTTCCGCGCTGATTTCTTCAAAGCTTGGGCGCTGCCTTCTCCACACCCGACACGCGCCCAGGAAAGCTCATCGCCCCGGCCGAGAGGGCCTCAAGCACCTGGACGGCAAAGCAAACAAAATGGCACACCATGTGATCTATACAAAATGGCCTCCAACCCAGTATAGCGATGGCCTGCAACCTATATTTTGCGATGGCATCAAAACCCAATATAGCGATGGCCTCCAAACCCAATATAGCGATGGCCTCCAACCCAG